GACGGAGCCTCAGAATCCTTGCCTCCAAGGAGCCACCCGGTTTAACCCTCTCCAGGACAAATCTATTTGTTTTCCTAGCAGTCCATGGTATTCTATTTCCAGGGATTCACCCTGTTCCATACATTTTCAATCTACATGCAGAACAGATCATTCAGGAGGCTGGGATTTATGAGGAGGAATATGGCATCAGAATTGGAAGAAAATTTATCAACAACCTACATTATGCAGATGATACAACCTTGCTTGAAGACCTTGCTGCAGAAGGTCAAGGACTATGGTCTTCAATATGAATTGAAGCGCAACATCAAGAAGACAAATATTCTCACCACTGGGCCAACTGGCAACACCATGATGGATGGAAGAAGAGATTGAGGTTGTTAACAATTACAGCTTGCTAGTTTCCACAATCAACACCGTTGGCACCAGCAGTCAGGAAATCAAAAGACATATTGCACTGGGAAAATCTGCTGTCAGGGACCTCTCCAGAGTACTAAGAAGCAACGATGTCAGCCTAGAGACTAAGGTGAGCCTGATCCAGACTATGGTCTTCACAATTACTTGCTATGCATTAGAGAGTGGGACAATGATTAAGGATGACAGAAGGAAGAATTGATGCCTTTGAGTTGTGGTGCTGGACAGGAGTCTTGAACATATCATGGAATACCAAGAAAATAAATAGGTCTGTCTTGGAGATGGTCAAATCAAGTTTCTCCTTGGAGGCTAAGATTTTTAAGTCTCACATAATTTGAGCACATGGCCAGAAGACACTGGTCCTCAGCAAATGATATCAAGCTCAGAAGGGTGGTAGGACAGCACAGGAGAGGAAGACCACGAATGAGATGGATTGATACAGTAACTTGGACAATGAGGGTAGGTGTATTGGAGTCAATGAGACTGGCTCAGGTCAGGACAGGCTTCAGAGCTGTTGTACATGTGAGTCGCAGAGACTCAAGAGCACATAATGACAATAGCAGTTATAAATGGTTTTGCTTTGTTAGTTTCTTTTCCATGATTTTTTACTCTAGAAAATTCCCATTGATTTTTGTATACTGATCTTGTGTCCTGCCACTCTATTATATTGGTTTACTAAAGTCTCAATTTTTTGGTTGAGTTTCTGGAGTTTTCTGTGTATTTTATCATATCTTCTGCATGCATGACAGTTTTACCCCCTCTTTGCCAACTGGATGACTCTTCTCTTGCCTTATTGCCCTAAAAAGTACTTCAAAAACAATAATGAATAGGAGTGGTAATAAGAGGAAATCCTTGACTTGGTTTCCTTTTCCATGCATTCTTTGTTATAAGGAAATTGCACTCATTTTTGTATACTGACCTTGTATCCTGCCACCCTACTAAATTAGTTTACTAGGTCTAACAGTGTTTTGGTTGAGCCTTTGGGGTTTTCTGTCTATACTGTCATATTGTCTTCACATCCCAATCAAACTTTAACATACTTTAAATTATCTGGTTTATCTTTAGCAGATTGTTTAACTTTTCTGAGTCTTCACTTTTTTATTTGAATGTGGAAAATAATGTATTCCTCACATGGTTATTTTTTCAGAAAGTGCAGTAAATATAAATCACCATTTTTAAAAGATTTAACACCCTTTCCAATTTCATGTTAATTTAATTTTTCAACACTAAGTTTTCACAATAAAATAAGGCTAACTTCGATAGAACTTACTTTTTACCAAATACTTAAACAGATTAAATTGTTGTTGTTGTTAGGAGTTAACCTTAAATGGAGCCTCAGAGAGAGGGACTGACACAGTGACCATAACAATGAGGAATCTGAGGGTGGCATAGAATCAGGTGAAGTTTCACTCCACTGTACACAAAGTCACTATGAGTTAGAACCAACTTGATCCCAAAAATGGCAAATAGAGCATGATGGGACACTACTTAAAATGCTTGACTGCTAACCCAAACTCTAGCTGTTTAAAACCACCAGAGGCTAAAAAAAAAAAAAACCACCAAAAAAAGTGAACTGGAGGAGGGGAAAGGAAAGGAGGAGGAGGGGGTAAAATGTACAATGATGAATGAATTAAAATCTAACTTTTCTGTAAACGTTCATTAAAATCACAATTAAAATTAAAAATTCTATTAAAAAAAGGAGTAGGAAACATAAAAAAAAACCACCAGAGGCTCTGTAGGAGAAAGATATGGCAGTCTGCTTCCATAAAAACTTAGTTTTA